TATATATAATGTTCTATATAATGTAAAATACTCTTAAGAAAATCATAAGATTGGTAAGTAAAGCTTTAATATTTGTTTTAATTTAGAAACAAAAGAAATATAAGTAAGATATATAAATCGAAAAAGATATCTGTAAAAAACAAATTGCTCCTATAAAATAAAAATAATTTATCATTTTTTCTTTTTACAAATTTTTTATTGCGATGTTTAGAAAAATAATACGAATAAATTTGTTTTGCTGTATGTTAAAAAAATACTACAGTAGAAAAACGCAGCTTAGTTTAATTACACTTTTCTTTTTTTAAAAGTCTACCATGACGTCAAATACTAAAACTTTTATGAATTAAACGCGCTTCAAAGAAATTGCCAAAGTCTGTAAATTGCGACGCATAATTTGAAGACTCAGAGTAGTTGAAAAAATGGAGAAGACGAGCTTCGGCAAAAATAACAACATTTGTTTTTCACAGTATGCATTCATTATTTATTTTTAATCAAAAAAATTTGGTTCAAACCTTTTTTTTTAACATTATCTAAAATTACACTAAAAATATAAAAACACTTTTTTCCCATCTACTTTATATTATCCAGGAACAACAAGTCATCACTATTCAAAGTCATTTTTTTAATGATCTACCCTAGTATACACTGTCCTCATTTCTACACATTTTCAAATTTATAAAAAAAGTATAGTATGTTAATCTCCAAGAAAGTATAGTATATTAATCTCCAAGAAAGTATAGTATGTTAATCTCCAAGAGAAAGTATCTACACATTTTCAAATTTATAAAAAGAGTATAGTATGTTAATCTCCAAGAAAGTATAGTATGCTAATCTCCAAGAAAGTATAATATGCTAATCTCCAAGAAAGTAAAGTATGTTAATTTCCAAGAAAGTATAGTATGTTAATCTCCAAGAAAGTATAGTATGTTAATCTCCAAGAAAGTATAGTATGCTAATCTCCAAGAAAGTATGGTATGTTAATTTTCAAGAAAGTATAGTATGTTAATCTCCATTTCATTTCTAATACGAAAAAAGCGTTGCTTTAGGTAAAAACTACTATATAAGTAGAGTTGAGCATTCGTGGTTTTCAGATATTCAAATTATTTAAATATCCCAATAATTATTTTTTAATTATTCAAATAATTTAACAATTTAATAAAATACATGATTTTTTTAAAATCAAATTTACTCTCAACAAGGCTACCACTATTAAGTTTGATATATTCATCTTTAAATCTTTTTTTTAAATAATGACATCACCATTCTGGATTTTAAACATACTTGTTCTCTCTCCATTGATGTTGGTTTCACTGTTAAAAGAATGTTATATAATAAATATCTATTTTCTTCACCATTACTTTGCCCTGTAGTTGAATTATCAATAAACCTAAAGTTGTTGTTTTAGTCAGAGCTTTTCTTCTTCAATATACTTTGGTTTACAAAGTTTTTATAATATATGCCGCAATCTACAGACTTGATAATTTATTTCATGCATATTTATTTCAAAACAGTTTCAGTATATGAAGTCATTGTATAATTAATTTTTTTTATAATTTTGAAGTATTTTTTGTCCGACAATCAGAAAATCCAGATTTATTTAAAACAAAATTTATTTGTATAATTTTTAACTCTACATTTTTTTAAAAAGTTACATCTACATGCTAGATGATTATTTTAAAAAAAGTGTACTTCTATCTGAGTGAGTATTATTTTGGATCCAAGAAATCTTTTCTTGGTGATTTTTAACCATCGTGTAGATGAAAATTAAAGATATCCAGCAGAAAGCATTTCATCGAATGTTTTTATACAATTCTTTTTTTATTATTAAACTCAATTGATTAATGTTGAAGAACAGAATTTGGAATGAATTTTGCAGTTTAAAAGTTGTCTCTATTTTAATCCATTCTTTTTAGGATTTATGTTTTTTTTTTTAAACATCTTCACTTCTAACAAGGCTGCAATCAACCACTATTAAAGTTTATAGAGCAAGATAATGATTGACAGACAACTTAAAAGATTCCAAGTTATATGAATCAGGAAAACAAGATGAAGGAAGCAAATTCCAAAGAACTGAGGAAAAAAACTAGACAAATAAGAGTTTTTTGAGCATTTAGGAACAGCGAAACACTATTATTAAACAAAAATATAATTATGAATAGAAATTTCATAAAAAAATGTTATGGCTCAATTATTTATCACTATTTTCAAACAAAAATTAAATTGAGTTGATTAAGTGTTAAAAATAAAACAACTTTTTACAAAGAAACTGTAAATTATCCGTAAATTAGCTGTAAATGATTATTTTTAAAGACAATGTTAATATGTAAGATAATTTATTTGGATGAAAGGATGAAATTTAATAGAATGACGAGTAGTATGAGAATAAATTTTAGATGGCACAAGAATTGTTAGCTCTTTAGAGCAGTGTCCATTATAGTATTTATAGAAAAAAGGAATTTATAGAAAGAAGCAACATTATGACGGTGTGATATTGGTTGGAGAGTGACTGCTAGAGGAGATCTAACTATGATTACAATGTGTTTTTGACCTTGTCCAAAAGAGAAATGGCATCATTCTCCCCAGATATGTCAATACTATTCCAACCTGAAGTTGGAATAGTATTGACATATCATGAACCCCTGAAGTTACAGGATACAAAGAAGAGTGCTGTCCATCTAGGACAACTTTAATACTACGATTGGTAAGGAAGGATTCATTAATCTTAAAAGCGTTACCGGAAACACTGTAAAAAGAAAGCTTATAGAGAAGACTTTATCAAAAGTTTTAAAAATGTCAAGAGCGATAGCCTTAAACTCTCCACATCTATCTAATGCACGCCAAAACCTATTGGTTATTACTGTTAGCAAATCAGCTGTAAAATGAGAAGATGGAAATCCATATTAATAATCAGAAAGTAAGTTATTAAATTCAAGATAAGAGGTTAAGTGTTTGTTAATTAAAAACTCAAAAACCTTGCTTATGATAAGAAGAAGACTAATGGAACGGTAGTCAGATGAGTCAGATTGCTCTCTAGAGTTTTTGAAAGTAGGGATGCTGTTGTCCAGCAGGCTGGAAAACAAGACTCTGGTAGGGGCTTCTTAAATAATTTTAAAAGTATAGATGACAGCTCTGGAAAACACTTCTGCAAGACTATAACAGGTATGTTTTTCAGACCACAAGCTGTAGAAGAGTCTATGCAGAAAATCACTTTAGATACAGAAGCGAATATCAAGCAATGGATCAACCTGTTTGTTGGCTATATCAGTTAAAATACAACTAGAGGAATCAAGAGATAATATTGATGAAAAGTTCTCTACAGACAATTCAGCTTTGTCTTTAGGTGAGGTGACAAAATCTGAACCATACAATAGAGGTGGAACAACAGATTTGCCCTTGTTATAGATACTGTTAAATATTCTCCAGAAGTCACGAAAGCCTAAATTTTGAGATTAAATCTAAGACCTGAGAATAGCAGGCTTTGGTGTTAGACAAAGCCTTTTTACAATGTTTTCTAGCATTAGTAAACAAACATCTATTTTATGGAAAATTGTTTTGCTGATAGATATGAATTAATGGTTTTGATTGGAAATTGCAGCAGCACAATGTAAGGAAAACCATGGAGAAGAGTGAGGCTTGACTTAGAATTGTCAAGAGAGAATCACAGAAAGTGTCCCAGTCAGCTTTAAGGTAGTTGTAAGAGGTACGATTTACAGCTTTAAGGTAGTTGTAAGAGGGGATTTTGATGATGAAGAAGAGTCTTAGAGAAACGTTTTGTTTATAGTGTATAGAAAAAAATATTGTTAAAAAGTTAAGCACGAAGCATGGTTCAGTGAATCTTTTTCAATTTGTTATGCAAGTAGTCCATTTGTCATATTATTACATAATCCAATATATTTGCGATACTCCTAAAGAAGCCTTTAATCTGACTAAAATCTTTGAATATCTTATATGAAATAACTTTCAGTAATTTATGTTTAAATTGCTTCAAACTGTACGTGTATGTAATATGAGTTAGCTATGAACTATGATTACTGATGCTCTCCAGGCTGTCATACTTTTTAAGTAAATTAAATGAGAAAAAACATCCCTACTATCACCAATAACAAGTACTGTTCTGTGTTTCAAGTAGATCCCTTAGGATTTACCATCTTTATGTTTAAAAGTAAGGAGATATTCTTTCAATCTAAACCAATGCAAAATAAGTGTGTCTTCTCTTCTGAATTTGCATCTTTCTTAAAATTACTTTTACTAGTAGGTAAGCTCTGTCTAATTTACATTTATTGATTAGAATGCTGTGTCAACATCTGGTAACAACAAATCTTTGATATCATGGAGCAAGGCATTTTCAAAGAAAATATATTTTGAAAACTTTAAAAACTAAAAAAATTGTTTCTTTTGCTGTAGCAAAAGAAACAATTTTATCTTTACTATACTTTATCTAGTTTAGCAATATATTTATAAGTAATAATGTTTTTATCTCTATACAATATTTCTTGGTTACTCTATAACACATATTCTTATAGAGTAACCAAGGATTAACAATTTTCTATATCATGATCATTTTTGTGCTACATTTTTTACAATTATGTTAAAATTTGAATATTTATACACTTATTATGCCAATATAATTATGATAATTAATATTTGTAATTATTATAATTATGCTGAAGCTATAATTTTTTAAATAACTATTACACAGATATAAAAATCTTGAATATTTTTTTTTTTTGTATTACAAATTATTTGTGTCTATATTATCAAATTTCTTCTTAAATTGACTTGTTATAATACTCAATATTTAAGAAAAAAACACAATATTGCTATAAAGTATATACATTTTCCTATTAAAGTTGTTTTTCCCCCATAAAAATTATGTCATTTAACTCAGGCTTTATGAATACACAGAAAAAATAAAGTACTGAATATAAAATAAAACATTTATTTGCACCATATACCCTAATATTCACTTACCATTGGTTTTAGTTACGTTTTTTTTTTAGCATGAAACTAATTTCTCAATCAGTACAGAGGCATCTTGTGTGTTACTAAATATATTGTTACTGCATCCCATTTCAAAAATTCCAGATGTTTATGATTTGGCTTTACAAAAACCTATTCAAGACAAACTTGGCAGTGTTTCTGGAACTATTACCTCATGGCAACTTGTTTTAGAAATTTTTACGTAAGTTTTTTTTTTGTTTTAACCGATTATTTGATCATTATATATATTATTTATAGTTATAATCAATTTCAACCAATAAAACCATCTTCATTGTTTTATTTTATTATTTAAATATTTTTACCAGAACTTTTATGGAAGGCATCTTAGAATGTTTACATTATGACAGCATGAAAAGCAGTGTTTAATAATGAAAAGCATATCCTATATAAGTATTTGTGAACAACAATAATACAATAATAACATTTACATTTTGATTTTTTTTTTACAGAAATGCAACTAATTGCATTCAATCAGAAACTGATGAAAGGTGACTTCTATGTTTTATTTAATACTTTATATAACGCATCTCACAATTATTTTTTGTGTCACTTTAACTCTTATAAATAATACAAACAAATCATTGATGAATATTCAAAATATTTAAAACCAGTTTTTGGCCTCAAAATATTTAAAAGTGGTACAGACCTGCTTAAAAATATTAAACTTCAATTTTCTATTTGGTTTCATAGAGAATTTTAATTAAAAGAACATCTAGCTGTATTTATGTATCTTTTAATGTGTTCAAATTTATTTCAAATATTTCCAAATTGAAATTTAAATTTTTAAATATTTTTATGTTGTTGCTTTTTTTAATCTGCTGCCATTTTTTTTTATTTTTTATTTTAATTCACCTCCTCAAAGCCGAGAAGGCCACTACAGACGAGGAGGCTACTTATTTGTGGCTATAACCCTCTCTCAACTCTAAAACTTCGAAACACGAACCTTGATGAACAAGGCCGCTGTGCGGAGAAACAAGTTGAGCGCAGTACTACCAGGGACGTGGTGGGGATCGAACTCGGAACCACTCATTTATGAAGTGAGCGCTCTACCACTACACCACTACCGCATTACAGAGTGATTCTTTCTCTCAATCAAGCTTTAATATATAGATAAAGGTTTTCAGCCCTCAGAATTAGGGTTGACTTTCAAAAATGTCAACTTAACTGCTGACCTAAAATTGTCTGAGGTCCACAAATTTTTGTCAACCTTGTTTCTATGTTGTTATGGTGAAGCCTTTGTGATAAAGATTTTCTGACGACCTGACTTTTTTTTGCAAAATGTTCTATTTTTTATTTTTAATGCAATGTGACTGGCTGTTTTAATAGCAGTTCTAAAAAAATAAAGTTTTAATCACATGTTCAACTTGTTCGTTCAACCTTATTTTGAATATAAGAAAAGAGTTTGTATTTTTTTACTATACTGTAAACAGTAAATATTTTATGTGTGGAATCATTTTTTTAACTAATTTTATTGAAACATTTCATGAATACGTTATCTGAACAGAGGTGATTCTACAAATAAAATGAGGGAGGGGATTCTTAAAAAGTATCTACTGGCGTATTTAAAAAAAAAAAAAAAGGTCCTCAAAACTAAAATTTACCCAACTGAATTTTGCAAATCCGACTAGTTTGCAAATCCGACTAGTACCCAACTGAATTTTGCAAATCCGACTAGAATTTTGCAATCCCGACTAGCCAACTAAATTCGTAAAAAAACTGACTATAACTTGAATATCACCTTCTTTGGATCGATGACAAAATTATTTTTTTATTATGATGACATTATCATGGATTATCTTTTTCTGGAATTCCAGATATTTATTTTAACTTTTAGTTTTTCTGGATATCCAAAACATTTTCAATATATGCAAGTTGAGGTATATAATTTTGTAATATAATTGTTTTTTAAGCTTTTTCACTCATCACTCATAGAAATATTATGAAAAGTGTCAAAAAAAAATTAATATCAACTTAACTAAAAGCAAAATTAATAAGAAAATAAGGGAAAATAAATACCTCATTTTTTCCGTATATTTTTTTCAAGCAATTTTCCAGATTTTTAAAATATGACTAGGATGATCATAATAAAAAAATGAGTCTTATTATGATTTTATTTTTAAACAAGCAAAAAAAATGCCATAATCACCAAAAGTAAAAAAAATTTACTAGAAACTATATCTAGACGTGTTCCCGATAGAGATCTCCGGGCCTGATTTTAATATTATCCAGTGTCTAATATCCGGTCTGATAATAAAATAATCCGGTTGGCTACGCCAGATATTTTGTGTTAATAAATTATAATAAAGAAACTTGTTTCAACTATTGCTGCAGTGTTAATGTCTTTAAGAGCTAATAAAACTATTTGGTAATTAATAGAATAAGGGAGCCTATAACAGAAGTTCTAAAGTGTTAATCTTTTAAAACAATCTAATGTTAGTTGACTCTAAAAAATTGTTATATAGTTCAAATAAATATGATTTAACTGAGTATAAGAAATACAGACTTGTAATTATTTTTAATTATTTACATTAGGTAATTAAAACTTAAAACAGATTTTATGATTAGTTATTAAATTATATAAATTATTTATGAATTTATTTACTATTTATAAATAATACCATTTCTTCAAATTGAGGCAACATCCTTGATTGCTTTTTCTCATAAGTATTTCCATATTCAGAAGATGTTAGTGATGTTAATAATTTATAAGTTAATTATTTTAGCAGTATATGATAACCAACCATATAGTATTACTAATACTAATTGATTTGTTATCTAAAAAAATCATCATAGCTATTTTTTAATGTATTTGTTTTGACTTTTTATCAATAATATCCTATATCATTTTGATGAATACTTTAATTAAATTAACTTTAAATGTGAAATGAAAAAGCATGTCTAAACATTTATTTTTTTATTTCACAAATTTTGTTTACAACTAAGATTCTACCTTTTGAACAATCATGTGGAGTTTTATATATCTAAGGTTGAATTTTTTTTTTTTTTTTTCGTTTCTTTTTTATACAATTTTAAATGAAATTTTTTAACAAGATTGTGTAGTGGAGTTGTAAAAAACGATTTTTGACTAGAATTATTAGATCCCCTACTTATTTTATTTCTACATAGAAATACATACAATACAATGCTGTTGTCGATTCAGAGGATTGATCTTTTTTTTAAAAAGTTTTCAAACAAAACTTTTTATTTTAAAATGTTTACTGTGGCAAAATTTTAAAATATTTGACATCAAAATACACATTGAAGGTTTTGTAATAAAAACATTAGTCCGTAGATACAAATATCTAAGCAAATATCTGGTCTGATTTTTGATTATCCGGTTATCTGGTATCTGGCCAAATAATTAAAAAATGTTATCTGGAACATCCCTAACTATAACTAGAAACAGCATAGTAAATAAATTTTTTCCAATATAGTTTTTTAAACTTGGCTTCTTAACTAAGATACTTTTAAGTACATGTTTCATTTTGATACTTAATACCTATTTGATATCCATACATCATCACTTTAAAATAATATAATAATAAAAAATAATAAAATAATTAAAATAAAATTTTATAAATATAATATTAGATCATTAAAAATTGTTTAACTTTTCCTAATCTATAAGTTTATTATGTTATTGTCTGGTTTTATATATATATATATATATATATATATATATATATATATATATATATATATATATATATATATATATATATATATATAATATATATATATATATATATAATATATATATATATAATATATATATAATATATATATATAATATATATATTATATATATATATATATATATATATATATATATATATATATATATATATATATATATATATATATATATATATATATATATATATATATGTATATTTTCAGCCTAAACTTTGCCATTAACTTTTCCTTTAAAGCTCAGTTTATTGAAGATGGTAGTAGGTTTTTCTGAACTGTAATACATATATATAACTACAATAAAAATATAATATAAACTGAGTGTATATTATATTTTTATTGTAGTTATATATATGTATTACAGTCAGAAAAACCTACCACCATCTTCAATAAAATGAGCTTTAAAGGAAAAGTTAATGGCAAAGTTTGGATACACACTTTATGCCACCAGTGACTGGTGGCCAAAAGTATGTATCCATCAACAATTTTTTTTTTAAATATTCAAAACCAATTTTTTTAATTTTTGAAAGTTTTTTATTATTTTTTTTTTGGTTTTTAAGGATAACAATAATATAATTCAAAATATATGCGAAATAATATAAGTTTTTATGGTTTTATAAGGTTTTATGATAAAATGTTTAAAAATTCGTTTCTTTTTTGGTGGATACACACTTTTGGTCGCCAGTTTATATATATATATATATATACAGTTGCGAAAAATAAAATAGCATTACTAAGCGTATTTTCCTTTTTGTTAAGAAAACACCATGCAAAATAAATTTTTTTTATAGCTTTGCTGTTTAAAATTTTAGCTAACATGTTTATTTTCTAAAATAAATCAATTTTGGGAAAAAAACTGCTTGGCGTTGCTTAATTTTAATCAAAAATGCCAATTCTTACCGAAAAATAAAATAGCACCACACACTTTTCTGTTATAAAATACTCTGATAATGATAAAAATAATTGTGAAAATAGCAAACGTTGGATTTAATTTTTGCTGTTTCGTTCGTTTTATGTTAGTGCGTATTAGTAGGAGACATATTCATATAAAAATGGGACACGGAAAGCATTGTAGTGCAGAAAAACCAGAACTGATCCGAAAGTTGATATCAGCAGGGAAATCTTATAGAGAAGTTGGTCGTTTAGTTGAGTGTTAAATAAATGATAAAATGATAAGAAATGCCATAAAATTTCAAGAAAAGCCTGAAACATGTGGTCGAAAACGTTCTATTTCAACATTGCTGGCAAATCGCTTACTTCTTAATCCGACAGGATAAAAAGGAACCTTTTAAAATAGCTACCAAGCTAAAAAAGGACTTTAACATCGATGCAACAGTACAAACAGTTTGGAGTTGTCTGCGAGTTAATGGATTAAAAGCCTGTAGCCTCAGAAAAGTTCCACTTCTAAGTGCCAAACATATTTTATTAATTTGAGTGTTTTTTAGCAAAAGCGTATTGCGTTTGCTAAAAACACTCATATTGGCCACTCGAAAAATGGAGGAATGTTTTATGGGCAGACGAAAGTAAGATTGTGCTTTATGGTGGAAAAAGCTCTCTGGCGTATGTCAGAAGACCGCCAAATGCAAAATACAATCCAAAATATACCATCAAAACTATTTAACATGAAGGTTATAGTATTATAGTGGTGCTATTATTATTTTTGCGTTTTATTTGATTTTTTTTTGAATTTTTGTTTAATAAATGAATACTATATATTAAAACTAGTATATTTTGTTTTTTATAAAAATTAAAAGCCATTTTACTTTTAAATATGTATTTAAAAGATTTTCAAACTATCAAAAATAGTTAAAAATTCTAATTTCAACCAATTTTTGGTGGTGGTGCTATTTTATTTTTCGCAGCTGTATATATATATATATATATATATATATATATATATATATATATATATATATATATATATATATGTATATATATATATATATATATATATATATATATATATATATATATATATATATGTATTTTTTCAGCCCAAACTTTGCCATTAACTTTTCCTTTAAAGTTCAGTTTATTGAAGATCATAGTAAGGTTTTCTGAACTTGATTGATAAGAGCTCTAAAACTCATTTTAATGAGACTGGTAGGGTTTTCTGAACTCTGCTGATGATGAAAAGAATGTTTGAAAGAAATACAAATTTGTACCAGCATTAGTTCCCTTTTCTGACTAGGTGCTTGCTTAGTTCCTTTCACTAGATGTGAAATTTTTTTTTAATTATTATTATTTTTTTTAATAGTTTATGGGAACTCAAGTTACAACCAGTTAGGTTTCTTACTTCGATGATGGAGCGTGATCTTTTTCATGTTTTTCCTTATGGGTGAGTTTTACTTTTTCAGTGATTGCATGTCAAGTAAGAAAAAAGTATTAAGTTTATTTTTACATTATTTATAATTTATAATAATTTGAACAAATGCAAAGGTTTCCAAATATAACAAAAAGTTTCAATATCATAAGTTTTTGAGATATGCAACTGTTCTTGAAATATGGTTAGTAGAGTTTTGGTTTTATTTGTGTTATGTACAACCTAATAATTCAAAGCTCTATAATATAACTATAAATAAAAATTTTAACTATAAATATATTATGTATATAAATTGTGAAAAATGAAGCAAACAGAATAAATTAAAAATAAGGACATGTTCTTTTTATGCAATTAAAAGTTTATTCTAAACTGAGTTATGATTAGATTTTGATGATATTTTTTTGTTTAGCTTTGAGAATTCTGCAACTTCAAAAAGCTTAGAAAATCTTCGTAAGTTACTAGTGTGGAGAGTGTTTTGGCAAAATTCAACTGAAATAAATATTAATTCTAATGTTAAAGATCTTTTACACTTGGTGTTTCATTTAGTTATAAGCAATCAAGTAATGCAGGTGATTATTTTATTTATAATTATCATAATTTTTATTGTTATTTAATTATATGGTTTCCTCACATTAATAATTCTATTCAAATCTTGTAGGAACGCATGATTCTAAAAGAATCTTTGATCATTCTTTCCTTAGTTGCACGTTGCTGTTTTATTTCAGACATGATTAAATATACAACCTTCATTGGGCGCATGTGTTTTAATTTAATTCATGAAATCCAATCTAAATGTGATCAGAATATATCTTCAAACATTTCTTTTAATTTGTTGGAATCTTTTTTTCCCTACCTAAAACCAAATTGGTTATCTGGTCGTATAATTGATTATATGCTTCAAAGATATGACTGTTCATTTGTAATGAAAAAAGATTTATTAAAGTCACCTTTGTCAATGGAAAAGATTGTAAGTGTTGTTTTTATCTTTTTCTGAATTTAGATAATATTATTTGAAAAATGAACAATGTATAATGAAATTATATTGTTTTACACTATAATAAACTTAAAACTTAAAATAATAATTTGAAACTGTTAATTTCAACAATTTTCATTACTCTTCAAAATTTGATAAAAAGTTTTGAGTTTCAATTAGAAAAAAAAATAAAAAATACAAACTCTTTAAGTTTTTATTTATTTTTAAATAAAAGTTTTAAAGACTTTAATATTTTTCATAAAAAAAAACACTAAGCTAAGTCTTTGAAACTCTAATATTGAAACTTCCTCTAATAAAACCTAAAACTCCTTTAAAACATTAAACTTCCCAAACAAATGTAACTCTCACAAATTATAAAACTCCCTTAACAAATATAACTAAAAGTTCTATAATAAAACTCCCATACAACTTCTAATAATAAAGCATAAATCTTCCATTTAAAATATAATTCATATTTTCCATTAACTCTAAACAGTCAAAGACTTGGTTTAAAGATCTAATTATATAAGCATGAACAAATGTCAGGAGCTATTCTAGACCCTTTTCGACAGCGTTGAATATTTTTGGGGGACATTTGGAACAGAATGTGGGTGCTATTGCTTAAATTATTTTCCCTTGTATGTATGTATTTATGTATGTTGTAAGTGATTGGGGTCCCGAAAAAAGAACTTTTTAAATACTGGAATATATTTTTTAAATTAACTCCAACATAGTTGCAAGCAACCACTATTATGTTATGAGTTACTAGGAAAAGAAGATTAGGGTTAAAGAGAAAGGAAGCAGCTAACTGTTGTATTAAGGTTTTGTTAATGTTAATTTGTAGATAAAAAAAACAATTTTATTGTATGGAAGGACAGATTCAATAAAATGATTTGACTTTGCTGAATGACAATTTCGGTTGATCTAACGAGAGATGATAGCTTGTTTTAGCAGCAACCATAATACTATTTGTAGAAAATAGAAAGAGATGCAACCTTAGAACAATGGGAGAGTGGCACAAGCTTGGCAGATAAAGCAGGTCCAGCTACATTACTATGTGCTTTTGGATTTTGTCTGAGAGTGAGAGGTTTGTTTTTTGTCAATATAGGAATGTCAACAATATTGCTATAGTTGTTAACAGTAAATAACTTTCATTGAGTTTCATTCAAAATAAAATCCCCAAACCACTGCATGCCTCAAGCTGTTACAGAAGAGAGGTCAGATTTAGATATTAATATAAAGATTTGTTAGACTTACTTTTGTTATGACTATGTTAAAGATTTTCCAAAAGTCTAAAAAATTTTTTATTTACAATTTGATTATGGCTGTAATGTTTTAACAATTTAAATGTAATAAAAAAATCCTTATACAGGAATATTTAATTTTTGATCTTTTCTAACGTTTTTATTTTACGTGAAGGCTTTAAATAACTTAAAGTTAATTATAATAATCGTTTAAAACAAATGCATTTTGTTTAAATTAAATGTTATATTTAATATTTTTTTAGTAGGCATGTATTTTTATAATAAATTTAAACATTTAATTTTTTTTCAAGGTCTTTCTAAAAATCTTTTGAAAGACTATTTTTTTAAGTTACTTTAAATTATGAATAAGTTAAATTAAAGCCTTCCCTTTGCAATGATTTAATTTTTTTTTTTTGTTTGTTTGTTTGTTTTTATTTTTACAAAGAATTGTTTGAAAGTTTTTTTTTAAACTTGACTTATGAAATGACTTAAAATTCCTTTTTAAAAAGACTACGTTATTATTTTTAAAAAAGTTTTTTTTTTGCAAGTTTTTGAACTATATAATTTAAAATATTATATATTTTTTTCTTTTCAATAATGTAATTTTACTTTACAATAATTTTAATATAATTTGTTCATTTATTAAACAACATTAGAAGTAGTCTGTAAAACTGTTTTGCCTAACAATAAATCCTTTTAAAAGATAAGTTTTAAAGTGATTTATTTAAAGCACAATTAAAAACTTAACAAAAGTAGTTTTTGCTTCGAATTTCAGTTTTTTGAGTTATATTTTAAAGCTTCTATATTTTCTTATTTGTAAGGAATTGTTTTTTGTTTATTTTTCTGTAGTATTTTCAGTTTTTTTTCTAGTCTAAGTTTAGTTTAACATTTCTTTTTTCAGCGTTTTTATGCAATATTTAAATCGTCAAAACGTCTAAACAGCCATGGTCAAGTTGTCAATAAAAAAATCATTTGCGTGGTCTGCATTAGCGTTCGATTGCAGGCCATTCCTGTCCAAGCCTGCTTTAGTTAAGGAACAAAAATGCTAGAGATTTTTTATATTTGAGAAACATAAAAAGGGAGGCTAAAGCTTGATGATTATGACAATAATGATGATGATCTTGATGATAATGATGATGATCATGTTAATCATGATGATGTTTATATATAAATATACATGGATATATAAAAAATATGTTTTAGGATGTATTAATGTTTATGCAGGTTTATTTGCCAACCCAGTTCTGGCTATTTTATATCAAACTTAGCCCCATCACTAAACAAATTTCAACCGCGGTCACTTACTATATGTATGCATATGTGTGTATATATATATATATATATATATATATATATATATATATATATATATATATATATATATATATATATATATATATATATATATGTATATATATATAACTGAAATAATTAATTATTAATTTATTTTATCAAATTTTTAATAAATTCAATATTTGTTATTTATTATCAGTATTTTTATTTATTTTTAATAGAAATTTAAAAAAATTTCAGTTAAAAAGTTGTAAAAATAAGTTTGTAGCGCCTAAAGCAATTTTTATAGTAGGTTGATTAAAAAAAAAATTATTAAAATTACAGTAAACATTAGTCCATCCCATTTTGACCCTCATAAACAAATTTTGATACACGTAGTGTTTCAAAATGTTCCCTAGGTGTTGTTCCCTAGGTGTTGTAATACAATTTTTTTATTTTATATTTTGGATGATTATTTATCAGGGAATATCCTTTTTCCAAATATTTCTGGAATTCTGGATATTTTTTTCAACTTTGAGTTTTTCTGGATATCCAAAATATTTTCTAAACATACAAGTTAAGATATATATTTTTGTAATATATTTTTTTTTTAAGCTTTTTCACTTATCACTTAAAAAAACAAAGAAAAGTTTGAAAAAAAAGAAACAATTCAGCTAAAAGCAAAATTAAGAGGATAATAAGGGAAAATATATCCCGGATATTTTACCCAAACAGTTTTGTGGGTTTTTAAAATATTACCTGGATGATCTCTGAATTTATCTTTTAAAGTTTAACTTTTTTACATTTTTTGTGTTTTTAAGGGCATTTTCAAACAATTGGCGCAAATAGAAATTTATAAATCATTAACTATACATTTACGTCTTCACAAAGAATGGATTTAATCTATACTGATTGTGGGCATTTTTATTATTATTATATTTGTTAACTGATGGTATTTTAAAAACGCTTTAATTTTTTACAAAATTAAAAAAACATGGTTGTCAAACAAAATTGCGTTGAGGTCTAATACGCCCACTTCAAGCACTGGCTATTTTAAAGGTATTTATATGAGGTTAACTAACTTTCATGGCTGCCCATTATTCTTTCTAACTTTCTGCCTTCATGTCGGAGAGCTTCATATAACCATAGCTGTAAATAAAACTGTTAAGCCGTAGAATAAACTATTTAAATCTCTGAATTAGAGCTGGGATGAAGTTGATGCAAACAATGAGGCGGTGCTGTTGCAATTTAATCACCAAAATGTTAATGGTTGGAGAAGCAGGGTCTATTGGTGCCCAAAGCTTGTAGGAAATCAATAGTCCATAAAAAGTTAAGAAATAGTAAGGTAAGGATAAAATTATATCATTTTAAAATACCTTTATGCAAAAATAGAATACATAAGTTTCTAATTAAATTTTTAAATAATTTATAATAATAAATATTTTGAGAATAGCAGATATTAATGTGAATTAGCAGGAAAAAATCAGGCCAATGTGTAAAAATTAACAAAAATGGAGCTATTTCACATGCCATGTTTTTGGCAAAGATATTTTGTTACATGAAATTCAAGTTGCGTATCCCCAAAATCAGACAGGTTCTTATTCTGAGTGATAAAATAGTCAAATAGAATGGAGGACTACATTTCTCTCCTGGGTATTGTTTGATCTATGAGTTTTCTAATTCTGCAGTTTTTAAAGTAATAGTTTCATAAGTTTTGATATTTTAGTCTTATTATTCAAGAATAATATATGTCATAGAAGTTACAAATTGTTTAAATACAGTCATAAAAGAAACAAATTGTTTAAAAACAATGGCTTATAAAAAAGTCAGATATAAAAAATGAAAAACTAACTCTAAACAAATTTCTTTTCTCCATTGACAGACTTTTTTTAAAACCAGTAGAAATATAAAAGAAATGAATTCAATTAATTTTTTTTTTTTTGAGTTTATCTAGTCAAAATTAAATGTTATAATTTTTTAGCAGTGTCATTTTAAACCTTATGTTATCTACATTGCATTACTTTTAATTTACATAATTAAAATCAACAAGACTATTTGCAGATATGCCATTATAATGAATATGAACCTGTTGTAGAGGTGGATTTGGTAAAACCATATGAGATGTTTGGATCCGTTAACCATGGGGCTGGCATTAGCATCTTCTGACAGAGATCACTACAACTCTGTCAGAAGATGCTGGCATTAGCATCTTCTGGCAGAGATCACTAAAGGAGGGAGAGAAAATAATGTAAAAGCAGATAAAATCAAAATTGAAATTTTTTTCAAAACAGTTTTTGTTGATAAAGACCAGCCACAAGGTTAATTCTTCAAAGTTTCTAACAACTTGTCAGAACTCACTACAAAATCGTAAATCCATTGGCCATAGTTTAAGAAATTTATTTCTCTAAACAAGAAATATATTTCTTTTTTAAAAAATAAATTGCCAGGAAGAAATATCTTTCTTGAAACAAGAAATGTACTTCTTATTTTTAGAAACAAATTGCAGTGGGGGTATTTGATTCTTAAAAAATGAAATGTATTTTTTGTTTTAAGAATAAAATATGTTAAAAATTCAATTTTGCTGTGCTTACAGTAAATTTTATTTAAAATAATGTCGAGCCTGTGATGAGTTTATAGAAGTCCAAATAAATATATATATTTTTTTTAAACAGAATTTAAGTTGCAGTTACAGCGTTTGATTCAGAATCAAGAGATCTGTGGTTTGATGTCTGCTCAGCTGTTTTAGAGACATGAAGCAAACATTAACTCCCTAGTTAAATGCTCTTCTACGGTTTTGTGGTACAACAATTGGGTCTTTTTGGAGCACCTAAAATAACCACGGTGCTGTGTGGTACGACAATTGGGTCTTCTCAGCTGTTTTAGCGACATGAAGCAAATATCCTAGTTAAATGCTCTTCCACGGTGGTACAACTTCCAAGGTGCTGTTTTGTGGTACGGCGGGTCTTCTTGGAGCACCTAAAATAACCAAACAAAAAGTGTGCATATATATATTTTTTTGAAATTCATTAATACAATCTTTGGTCTAGTTTAATCTACATCAAAAGATCCATAGTCCTTTACCCACAATTTTAAGGCAACCATTTTGGATTTGGATTTGTTTGATCCTAGACTCCAATAACAATATTTAAAAAAAAATAACTTTTGATACCAAAATGATGTGAAAATATAATAAAGTTTGCTTCATAACTGAAAATGACCTCATGGATCAACAAAAAAACACTTTACAATAACCTAAGTGTTAGTTTATCTATTGTAATCAGTGAAAGATAAGTATTATATTTCTTAAATAAAAACACACAGTGTTTTTTTGGTGCAGAAACATGTAGTGAAAATATCATTGAAAAGTTAAGTCCATCTGACATCCAAATTTATTTGCGCCAATTCTTAGAAATTTGTCCAAATTTAGTCAAAAAGCTTAATTTTTAACACTTGGTGCAAATACTTCTAACAAGAAAAAATTTTTAAAAATTCTCTTGTTTCACTTCTCATAAAAATTTGTTGTCAAAAAAAAATCATATGATTAACTAGTAAACATAGTGTGCATCTCTCAAAGTCAAAATAATTTTGCTTATGAAATATACATAGACCTTGAGAAAGAAAATTTATTTTCAATCACAATTGTTTACAGTGCTAAAAGAAAATTCATTTAATCCTTTTCTTCAAGTTTTTCTCAATTACTAGTAAATAAGTGAAAAGTGTGACAATTAAAAAAAGCGATATGCTTAAATTCTAAAAAGAAAATTTTAACTCAACTAAATTCAAACTCAAGTACTTAACTCAACTAGAATTTTGTAATCTAATTTTATCTAAACTCAACTTAACTAGAAAATTGTACAACTAAATTATGGAAGCTTCTAACAAGTTTTGTTAAATACACAAAAGGTGAGTACTGAGTAATAAACATTCTGGAAAATGACCTTGGCTGACTCTTTATTTCTTTAAATTGGTTAATGAGCTCGTCAACAAACATAGTTTTTACCTTCGAGGATTTGAGATTTGAGGATAGGAGGCACATGCCACCAGAGTGCTTTTTAATATAATAATATAGTATAAAAAAAATGCTGCACATACTATTTTTTACTACAACAGCCTTTAAATTTTTTTATTAATAAAAATAGTTTGTGAATATAGTTTGGTATCGAAAGTTCAGAATTTTGTCTCTTCTATTTTTAAACATGTTTTTGTTTTCTGAATCGATTGCATTTTGTGATGAGAAATTCCAATCGTCTCTCTCTTTGTTAAATTGTAACTCTATTTGTTAAATTGTAACTTTAAATCTTTTTCAATTTCTATCTTTTGCAAAACATGATTATCTAATTTGTAGTTAAATTGAGGATTCAATTTATCAATATGCATAACTTTGCACTCTTCTCCATTGAACTTAATTGACCACTTATTTGACCAGTCTAACAACATATCTAAGTTTTCTTGAATTGTTGTTAATTTCATTGGTAATTGCTGACATAATTTTAATACTGTCTGCAAATAGTTATAGTTTAATTAAGTCATTATATAATTTATTTATTTTATAACTTAATTACGTTTTATAACTTAATTAAGTCACTATATAAATTACAAATTGTTGTGGGCCAAAAATGAACCCTGAGGTACACCACTTATAACTTCTTACCAACTTAAAACAAACTCACCCAAAACAACTCTTTGTTTTCTATTACTAAGAAATGTTTTACACTATTGTAGAATATAAGAGTGAAAACCATAATTTAGAAACTAAATCAAAAGCTTTTGCCAAGTCCAAGAATATTATATCGAACCAGCTTTGATTTTACTAATAATTAAATCAAAAGTTTAAGCAACAATTTTTACTATTAACAAATCCATGCTGTTCACTTGCTATTAATGTATTAAAAGACAAATGGTTCATCATAACATTGCAAATAATTTTCTTCATAATTTTGTAAACTATTGATCTGAAGGATACTGGTTGATAGTTTAAAGGATCTCACTTATTTCTTTTCTTGAACAGGGGAATTATATTTGTCATTAACTATTTATTTAGTATAACTATATATTTAGTATATAAAATATTATATTACCATTATAATATAACAATTTAAAGATAAGTTATAATGAGTAAGAAATTAGTTTTAAACATTCTTTGACTCAAAGATGGACTAAGTAACTTAATATGAAAACCTTAATGGAAATATTGCAAATTGCTTTATTTACATTAAGGTTTACTAAATGATATATTTTTTAATTTTTTATACTTTTTTTATTTTACAGTGATTTTTCAACTAATTAGCTATTGCTCTGTTCAGCACTATTGAGCACTCTATTTTGTAGAAAGATTTAAAATTATTCATATATATATATATATATATATATATATATATATATATATATTATTGTTATTAGATTTTTACAGCAAATTTTATAATTGGCATTAAGACCCAATAGAAAAAGGGAGCACATGCCACCTGTGAAAAGTTTTGTGAAATAATGTTTATGAAATGTTTCTCTCTCTCTCTCTCTCTCTCAAAATTTGCTGTAAAATGCTGATAATTTTTTTTTTATCAAAAGAAATTTGTTGGCATTGCTTACACTAAATAGATATGATTCTGATCAGACAGATGATTTATCATTTATATTTTCGCTAATGTTTTTCATTTCACATTTTTATGGTCATAGATGATAGTAGTGATAATGATGATAATGATCATTATTATCATCATCTAAACTAAAGACCATCGTCATCATGGTCCTGCTGTTAACTTAATTCAGTAATTTATTGTTGATGAATGTGTTTTTTGTTTTAGATTACATGTTATTTTTTCCTGTACCCTAGACCTTATTTTGAGCAGTGCGCATCAATCAGTAATAACAAGTAATTTATTTTGTTATTTAAATAATCACATTTGTTTATAATCTAGAATACAATGTATAATCTTTCAATCTGGTTCATATTTTAAGTAGGGGTTTGATATTTATAATAATAAATATATTTATATTTATTTAGGGGTTTATATGTTTTTCATTATACAAAGCATAATGAAAAACATAGCAGAATAAAACATAGCAGCCGTAGAAGCTAGAGATCTGTGGGCCAACACCACATCTGGGCAAATTTATAAAAAGAGCAAGGAAGGAGGTGTGAACTTCCTTTCAAATGCTCTTTCTCAGTCTGATCTGATCTGTGATAAGACTGATAAGATTGGATAAGATTGGATAAAACTGATAAAGACTTTATGAGGCATCTAAAAATAAAAAAAAATTTATTATAATATTTGAAAAAGGTAAATACAAAATAATCTGAAATAATGAATAAAAATAAGTTAAATAAATATAAAATAATGATATTGCAATTATGTATTTGCAATACGCATTCTTTGTAATACCAAAGCACTAGTTTTTGTAATACCAAAGCACTAGCTCTTTGTAATACCAAAGCACTAGTTTTTGTAATACCAAAGCACTAGTTTTTGTAATACCAAAGCACTAGTTTTTGAATAAAAATCTTTTTGACAAAATTAAAACCATTAAGTTTGATGCTTAGAATGTTAAAACAGTTTAATACATCAACAAATAATTAAAATTTTATGTGCATGAATGGTGCCCAAAACTTTAGAATAATACTGATGCCCTTAAAAAAAATCAAAAGTCATTTTAAATGCTTTTTATTTAAAAAGCTAAATTTGTATATCTTTTTTATAAAAAGTTTGGGATTGTATTGGCATGGATGCCACAATGGCAACACTTTTATATATTTGTCAGAAAAAGAAAAGCTATATATCCCCCCCCCCCTCCATCCTTTCCTATTCAGCAAATATTGGTTTGAAAGAGTTTATATAAAGTTAAATATAAAGCATTTTTACATTTTTACAACTTATTAGGTAAAGATAAAACTATATTTTTTATAAAAAGATCATTTAAATAACACAACAAATAAAATTTAAACAACTAAAGAATCATTAAAATAACAAAACGAACTATTAATGAAAAGTAAAACTAATAAAATTTGATAAATATAAGCTTATAAATATAAATACCCTAGCAAACATTGTTTTAGTGGATTTGCAGTGGACTTATATAGGCAATTTTGAGCGGTTTTTTGGAGTTTTCCTCATCGGTTTAGTAGACTATTAGTGACAGCCGCTACAATCCGCCAGCTGATAACTTTTTGAAATGTTAATAGTGACTAATCATCAGCTAGCCACTTTTGGCGGCTGCCACTAATGGTCCACCAAGTAACTGATGAGTAAAAGTAACTGATGAGGAAAACTAAGCACCAAGTAACTGATGAGCAAAAGACCGTTCAAACTGTCTATATAGATCTACTAATATTCGGCTTTAGAATATTTGAATGTTCGGCTATAGAATGTTTCAAAGTTGTTAACAAGGCCAAAAGTAACAAGGCCAAGGCTAAGGCCACATGTTACAAGGCCAAGGACAAGGCCAAGGCTACATGTTGCAAGGACAAGGCCAAGGCTAAGAATAAGAGTTTCAAGGCCAAGGTCTACGCATACATTTTCAAGGCTAAAGACTTAAATTTTTGCCTTACGTTAATAAAGTAATTACCTAAAATAAAGAATGATTAACTTCATAATTATTTATTTAAAATAAAGAATGAAAACTTTAAGTTATTTTATTATAAACGCCAAGGCCAAAAATTTCAAGGCCAAGGCCAAAAGTTTTTAGGTCAAGGCCAAGGCCTTAATTTTTGGCCTTAAGGCCAGGTCAAGGCCAAGGACTAACAAGTCTGGAATATTTGCTGGGATTTGTCTTCTATATCGAATGTATCAGAATCTATCTCTAGCTCCTTGTCACTTCAATCATAAATATCTGTGTTTAAACACCCTGTGCATTTATACAAATCCATATAGGAAAAGTTGTTTTTTATAACACTTGTATCTCTTTGTACTGCAATCACCACTACATCCACAAACACTTGATTCAATTGAACCTAATAAAGCAGAAAGACAATCTGTTTATATTGGATCAAGGGATTCACCATTGATCTCCCAGCTGAAGCCTTCATGAGAAAGAAGATTTTGTAAAGTTTTTTAAGACCTTCTTAAGACTAGACATACAAAATGAGTAACAAATCTTTTGTATTTTAGAGTGTTCATAGTAGGTGATAACTGAATAGCATTCTGATGATACTTTAAGAAGAGTAACCATCCTAGCTTAGCTGAGGTTGATATGTTATTGGGCATATTTTTTAATCCATATGTGTTGACTACAAAGCACTCAATACCTTGAAAAGTAACCTGATTCAGCAAAGACTCAGTATCACCTAACATTAATTTTCATAACGTTAACTTGGATTTTTCACAGAAAGGGTCGGTCTGTTCACATCCTGTTAACACATGGAAACCCAGTAAAGCTTTTCATCGTTTGGAACCAAGTGTTTCAAAACTGCTCAATGGAATTGAGCACAAAAAGAGTGTCCACCTCTTCATGATCATGGCTTAGCAACTTTATATCAAAACTGGAGATATTTGTAGCTATTTTTAATTTGTATGTAATTAAAAAATATATTCTTTGATCTTATAGTGCATCATAAGTATATTCTGAAAGTTATATAGTTATGTCTTGCATAGTTTCTATAATAGATAACAAATGCTATATTGACAAACTGCTAATATCTCCTTTATCGGAAACCTTGTACCTTATATTGTTTCAAGATGTTCGCTTTAATATTGTTTTAATTTTAAGAGTCTGACTGATATAGCAATTTGTAAATGACCGGGGTTGATATTCTACCAGGGCCAGGGCTGGGTTTGATAAAGTACAGTCAGGGCCGGGTTTGTGACCAATCATGTGATAATCATCATCATCATCTGCTGCTGCTGATGATGACATCATCAGGCTTTACTTATTGTTCCACTTGACAAGCTCTTTTGTATAACATATTTTTCAAAATTTATGACTATTATTTTTTTTTTTTTTTTTGTTGACTGTAATAAGTTTGATGTCATGAGTCCTGGCCCCAAATGTAAAATTGTTTTGGTACCAATTTTTTCTTCTTAGTTTTAACATAAAGGACATGTTAAAAACAAAATATTGCTTCTAACATGCATGTGCACACTAACCTGTCTTACCTGTGTCTTAACATAAACATAGTTCTCACTATGCATAAAGATTACAAAGATTTTTTTTGTGAAGAAAAAAAACTTTTTAAAAAATTTTATTGCAAAGATTATTAATAATTTTATTACTAAAAATCTTATAAGTAATGTATTTGCCTTGAAATCTCTGAAATTGAAACTTTTTATTTACTTTCTGGTTTTTCTTGATTTTTTTGTAACACGATTGCATTTGATTACATTTATTTTCAAATCATTCTTTCTAATTATATTACCAATTATATAAACACTTTGTTCCTCTTTTTTTAATTTACAATTACAATTACTGAACCCTTGGCTAATAAAAACTCAAGTATTAGGTATTTTAGAAATAAATACAAGTATAAAGTACTTTAGAGAAATTAATTTATAAAAAATAGAACAATATATAAGTTTTAAAAACATTTATAATTTCAGCTTATGACAAAACATAAGTATGTTGTTAAATTGTAGTATATCTTATATATATTATTAGTTGCAATTAATGCTATTATTTAACTGATAAATTGCCTAAAATTTGTAATGAATATTTATATGAGCAAGCTACTAGTTTGTTTTATTATAAAAGTTATGTGTCTTAATTATGACAACTTCTGAGGTGTATATGCAACTCCTTGCTTTTATAAGATTCTCATTAAATCCATAAAAATTAATTGCTCTAAACAATATTTCTAACTTCATGGACATTGTGTATCAGTCTGATCAACATTTATTTATTATTAACTTCAGCCACAATTCACATAGGAAAAAACTTGTTAAATGCTATATATATATATATATATATATATATATATATATATATATATATATATATATATATATATATATATATATATATATATATATATATATATAATCGTCTTTAAGAAATAAATTAAATTAAAACTTAACTGAATCAAAGATATCAGTGAAAATGTTTAATTATGTTTAATTATATTTGACGCAAAGGTATTTTATTTTTGAGCATTCAAAGTTTTGAACTTTTATTGAAGTATTGAAAGTTTTGTTATTATATGAACTTATAGTTCAATGTAAAAATCCTAGTTAAGTAAAGTTTTTTTCAAAAAACACTACAAGTTAGTGAATGGTCTGACTTAACTAGGGTATGATTTTATGATAATTTATGATAAGATGGTTTTATAGTGAGTCGATAGAAAGGTCAAGGGTAATTAAATAATTAAAAATGTGTCTAACTTAGTAAAAGTTCGACAGCAGGGTCTGAATTGACAGGGTTTTACTGTATATATGTATGTATGTATATGTATATATATATATATATATATATATATATATATATATATATATATATATATATATATATATATATATATACACACATATATATATATATAGATATATATATATATATATATATATATATATATATATATATATATATATACACACATATATATATATATATATATATATATATATATATATATACACACACACATATATATATATATATATATATATATATATATATATATATATATATATATATGTATATATATATATATATATACACACACACACATATATATATATATATATATATATATATATATATATATATATATATATATATATATATATATATATATATATATATACACACACATATATATGTGTATATATATATATATATAGTTTAATATATTTGTGTAGTATAAAGATTTTAAAGTTATAATAATAATAGTAATAATAAATGTTTATTTTTCAGCAAAATAACATCATGCACTTCAGGTGCAGCCAAAAATATTAACAAGAAAAATAAAAAAGGTATTTTTTTGTTCATAAGTATCATCAAGAAAAATGATGTATATATATTTTTTAAATGTTATAAGGAAAGATATTGCTGATAGTATTACTATTAACATAATATATTCATAAAATAAATACTTTTTTTGTACAAATCATAGTTGTTATGGTTGTTTAAATAAACAACTATTTTTGTAATATGTTTTGTAAAAAGTATTTCTTATTTTTATGAGATTTCTTGCAGTTATTATTTTAAATTTTATTTATTTATTTAGTTATTATTTTAAATGTTTTTGTAAAAATAATATTAATAACTTTTAGTTATAGTGTTTTTTTTTTATTATTATTTATTATTTTTAAATCTTATATGATTGTTTTGTTTTTATTTATTCTTAATTTATTTTAATTTATTTATTTTAGTTTTTGTATTTAGGTGAAACTGCTTTACATATAGCTTGCATTCGGAATCATCCAGACAGAGTTAAAGAGCTTATTTCAAATGGTGCAAATCCTAATATTAGAGACAATGCTGGATGGTATCCACTGCATGAAGCATCAATTCATGGCCATGTTCAATGTTTAAATGCTTTACTGAGCTATAAAGGTAGTTTTAGATTTTTTTTAACTTAGGTCAGTTTTATCTCTGTGCTTTTTAAACTGAAATAATCTTTTAGTTCAATTCAAATTTCAGTAACCAGTAAAAAGGTAAAAAAAAAAATTTATGGCAAAAAAAATAATAATAATTTAGTGTTTCATATATATATTTTTTTTAAATAAAACTTCTCATCTGCTAGTTTTTGTTTGGAATTAAATAACAAAATTTATTTGATAAATAAAATGAAATGATCATACATAATAATGAACTTATGACACACTATCTCACAGAAATGTTATCTCTAATAATATCTATAATAGGGAGATTCTATGTGAAAACATCCAATTTTTTTTGAAAATGCAACCCTAAGTCTCAGATTTTGCTGATTTTTACACCACTCAAAGATTTTAATAAATTATGACATTCCCAAAATTTTATCATCTAATTCCGAACGGTTCCAAAGATATGACTATTCAAACTTTGCCTTGAACCAACAAAATTCCGCCATTTTAAAAAATGGTTTTGGTCTTTGTTTCTGTTCTGTATACAATGGAAAGCTGAAAATATGTATGCTAACATATTTTGAGGCAAGGAGTCCAATAAAATAACTTAAAATTTTTAAAAATAAACAGAACACCTGTATTATTGACCTTTATTGCAATTTTACTGGGGCGAGTTTAATTACAAAAATGCTGATGTAGCTTGATTTTTTTTTTTTTTTCTTTTTTTTTTAGATGTCATCCTGAATAGTTTAGTTAGAGTTGTTACAAAGAATTGGAAAGTGGTCTTTTCTTAAAATGGAAAAAAAACACGGTCAAATTTACTTAAATTTGTTACATATAAAACAGGAATTATGAAAAATCAATGGAAAAAAAAGGTTGAACTCTTATGTGCCTTATGCACAGAAGTTGGTATTTAATAATTTTCTAGAAATTTTTCCACTTACCCTGAGCTTATTATGACCCCCTCCCTTCTCCTCCTCCCCACTTTCCCTCTTTTATTAAACTTTTTATTCTTCTCCTCCCCCTCTCTCCCCCACCTTCCCTCGTTTATTAAACGATATTAATATGAACAAAAAAACTGTACCTCAAATCTAAAAAAAAAAATTTCAGGTATTCTTTTTTAAACTTTGAGACTGGTTTAGGTCTTAAAAATTAGACAATATACTTATAGGGAAAAAAGTCTCCACTCACCTTTTTGTTAAGACTACCTTTCTCTCCTCCCCGCCCTTCCGTCTTTCCCATCTCCCCCCATTTATTTAATATAGATAAAAATTCCCATGTATTAAGCATCTGAGAGTAACTTGACAGTTATGAAACTGAAACAGCTTTGACCATATCGAATTGTTCCTTTAATAGTTGCTGACTTGCTTTTTCTGTTTTCTAGGTAATTTTATAAAATTGATCTTTAATTTCAAAAATTTATTATTATTTTACTGGGGATGAATTCAATTATGAAAATGCAGATGTAATTTTTTTTTTCAAAAGTTGTCTTGAATAATTTAGTAAGAGTTAGATTTTCAAAAGTAAAAAAAAATATCAAATATATATCATTAGTATATATATTTTAACAATGTTTATTTTTATTTCGTTTAACGTAAATATTTACTTAACGAAGAAAGATTGTTCTTTTAAATTTTTTTTATTCAAAGATGAAAGCATTTATAGAAAAAAAAAACTATTAATTTAAATTTAGTGAATTTTTATACTTTTTATGCGGAAGTTCTTTTTTTTTTTTTAACAAAATTTCTTGTGACGTCAAGCTCGCTTTTAGATCGAGTGTAAAGCAGCAACCATTTGTTTTGTGTTATATATATCATTAGTAGATAAATTTAATGAGGAAATTAAGAATCATAATCTTAATTATTATTTAAATTATTTAAAAATTATAATCTTTATTATTTTTTAATTATTAAAAAATTTAATAAAATATTTAAAAACATTTTTATTTAATGTTTTTAAATATTTTATTACTATACTAAACAAGTTTTGACTTAATTTTAATGAATAATAAATAACTATTTTTTGATTGACAAGTGACCAACAACTGATTGAGACAATTATTGGTAAATTTTTAATAAATCAATATTTAATAAAGTTGTTTACTATCACCTATTGCCACATTATACGTGCCACAACATGCTTTATATGATAAGCATTTATTATTTTATTTAATTTGGCATTTAATAGTTTATAAAAATGCGTCTAAAAGGTAATTCATTGTCAGAATGTAATAATCAATAGAATATCATAGCAGATATAACTCTGTTTGTTTACCTGAAAATAATTTAATTTATTTTTATCTACCTGTTTTTTTACCCGAAAATAATTTTAAAAAATAGTTCTCACAACAATAGGTAAGGAACTTCCAATTAGGCAACATAGTGCAATAGTGGCAAGTGTTATTGCTATTTCAGAAGGTGATTTTTATAATTTTGCGCTATAATTTTCAGAATTGTGGAGGAATTTGTAAATAAAGGAAGAGAAATGATAACAAAACATACTGGTCACTTGCACTCATAATTAAGCATAACAATCTTGCTGAACCTTTTCAATCAATTGACAATTTAAGTTTAATATTTTTGTCCAGATGTAATATATGGGGAGTGAAAAGGAAAGGGAAAGGATTTTAATAAACAGGTGGGTGGAAATTTTTATTTTTATTTCTAACGAGGGAAGGAAGGGGGGGGAGAGAAGAATAAAAAATTTAATAAAAGAGGGAAAGTGGGGAGGAGGAGGAAGGAGGGGGTCATAATAAGCTCAGGGTAAGTGGAAAAATTTCCAGAAAATTATTAAATACCAACTTCTGTGCATAAGGCACATAAGAGTTCAACCTTTTTTTTCCTTTGATTTTTTATAATTCCTGTTTTATATGTAACAAATTTAAGTAAATTTGACCGTGTTTTTTTTCCATTTTAAGAAAAGACCACTTTCCAATTCTTTGTAAAAACTCTAACTAAACTATTCAGGATGACATCTAAAAAAAAAAGGAAAAAAAAAAAATCGAGCTACATTGGCATTTTTGTAATTAAACTCGCCCCAGTAAAATTGCGATAAAGGTCAATATTACAGGTGTTCTGTATATTTTTAAAAATTTTAAGTTGTTTTATTGGACTCCTTGCCTCAAAATATGTTAGCATACATATTTTCAGCTTTCCATTGTATACAGAACAGAAACAAAGACCAAAACCATTTTTTAAAATGGCTGATTTTTGTTGGTTCAAGGCAAAGTTTGAATAGTCATATCTTTGGAACCGTTTGGAATTAGATAATAAAATTTCGGGAATGTTCATAACTTATTAAAATTTTTGAGTGGTGTAAAAATCAGCAAAATCTGAGACTTAGGGTTGCATGCCCTGGATGTTTTCACATGGAATCTCCCAATATTCAGTATTAAATGATTCATTAAAATATTTAAAGATAAACTGTTATTTCAGTATTATTGTGCAAACTTCTAGCTTTTACAAGGATAAAGCAAATTGTTTAATAAAATTAAAGAAAAGAAAATAGCAATAATATTTAAAAAACATTAAACTACTTCAAAAATAAAACAAAATAAAAAAATAAATTAACATTACGTTCTCTATATAGGATTCGAACTGGTTACCTCGTCAGCCACGCCTAATTGTTTTATAATTGTAATATCCACAGTACTTTGCCGCTATTTTACTTATTTGAAAAGTTTAAGTGTTAAATAATAAAGGCTATTTTATTTATTTGAAAAACTAAAGTATAATTCATTTTTTGTGGAAATAGTGTTTATGTTTATATAAATACTGTTTACATTAATTGCATGCACGTTCAAATTGTTTTTCAAACACAGGATTATTCTTATTCTTAGTTACACAAAATGCGTTAAGAATTTTTTCCAGATGTTTCTTAAAAATATTTTTTGCATATTTTTAGGGAAAATTTTTGCGGGTTTTTCAGATATAACCTGGATAATCCTTGCATCAACAATAAAATTGAAATTTTTATAATTTTTGTAAGTGCTTACAATTTGGATGAGGTTTTTGAATTTGTTTGAAGTTTTGTTCTTTCTGAACTACGGCAGTTTTATTTGTTTTGTTTTAATTTTTTTTATTTGAATTTTTAAGTTATATTTTACCATACAATGGTTTTATATTCAAAAATATTGTTGGCTTAGCATACGAACAGCCACAAATAATCCTTAAGACTATCAAAAGTGATTAGACTTGTTGTTTGCGTCCATTTTTTATTTATCAAACTTTATAATAGAGCTTAGTAATTAAATTAGTTAAAAATGTTAGGACTCCTTCTTGAAGCACTTTAACAACTTTAACATATATATATATATATATATATATATATATATATATATATATATATATATATATATATATATATATATATATATATATATATATATATTTATATATTTATATAGGAAAAAATAGTCTAATAAAGCAATCCTTCTATATTTAGTTAATTATTATTATGTAAACTACATTTTTGAAAAATTTTTTTTTTGATTAGGTAGTATGATTATTTATTTCTAGAAATATCATAGATTTATTGCTCGCACCTAAAATAATTATAAGGAAATATTATTTTTCTTAAAACGATACTAATGGCGATATAAGCCCCATATGTGTACAATATCACCACTCATACTTTTTTTTCTATTTGCAATATTCATAACGCAGATTACATTTAAAAAAATGAATAAAAAGTGAATCATTATTCATAAAATCATATTATTTGTTTAACTTTTTATTACAAATCTAATTGTTTAGTCACTTTCGCTACTTAATGTACACCTTACTTTGCACAAAGTGCATAGGCCACTTTTTATGATGCTTCCTGTGTCACAGTGCTCATGGAACCAAGTTTTGCATCCGACGCATTGAATCCAATCATCTTTTTTTCTTTTGTCATTGTAAAAGAGTCCACAATTACCACAAAACATATCTTCGTCATTCTTACTTCTCTTTTTCAATGATTTTCGAGTATTTTTTTTATTATGTTTTATGGCCATTTTTGTTTGACTTAGCCTGGGCGTTTCAGTTATTTTATCCGCAACTAGATTTTGATCGACAACAACAGCTTGCACATTTAATGATCTTCTAGTTTTTACTTTTCTAATTATTTTAGGTGATGGAATTATTGAACGGATACTATATGCAGGGTCTGAAGATCCAGGTTCCAAAATACTAAACTTGTCAACCTCAGGATTTTTGACGTTTATGCAATTAGAAATTTCACTGGGTGCAAAAGTTATTTGGGGGATAATATTAGGGTTGAAAGGATAGATTCCTATTGATCTGAACCCTGATATGGCATTTGCTGGTGTGGTGGTACGCAACCATGCTTTAGTAAATAATAGTGGAAATTGCAGTTTTGACAGTGATCATCCAGGAACATTTCTTCAGAAATTATCAATGGAAACATTCCAGTAAATTTTTTTATGGGTTGAAAATGTTTTTGTCCAGAGGTTGGAGTTCGTGACTACAATGCGCTGGAAAACAAAGCATATGGATGTTTAACTTTTTGGCTTCCTCTATTACAGCAATATCTAAATATCCAAATCAACAAAGCTTTTCCTGGTAATCAGTGCTGGTTAAAATGACGCAAAAAAGTACAAAATTTTTCCTTGGTAATATATCCTTTTGGAGTCATGCGCTTCCAGGTGGCAAATTATCCCTGTGCTCATGTTTCAATTTTTTTCTTTTATACAAAATTATAGGTGGAATCCAATTGGTTCCAGTAGCATTTGTACATGCAACTACAGTAACAGTGTCTCCTCTATCTGCATGAGTAGCTGTGTGTACACGCTTTGCTCCATTTTTTGCCATTACTACATGAGTGCCAGTCATTGTTAATTGCAATCCAGATTCATTGACATTGTAAATCAATTCAAAATGATGTGCCAAATTTAGTTTTTTGTAGGTTTTATTGACAAGATTGTAAAAGTTTTGAACAGTTTCAGCATTAAATTGCATTAGCCTACTATAACTCAAACTTTCGCATTTCCTAGGAGCAACATCAGGATGGCGCCTGAGAAATCCTGAAAGCCAATCTTTGCCTAAAATTATTTATTTCATTAGTATAATTACTTTAATTTTAATATTTCATTTAAATATATGGACAAAACTGATTTTGATTAATTTTTTTTAAATTTGAATATAAAATAAAAATTAAAAACTATTAAAATAAGTACCAGCAATTTCATTCTTGAAACGATGTGGCAGATTTTTTTGAGTACATATTTCATATGCATATTTTCTAAGTTGTATTCTTGTTATACTAAATCCTATTTCTTGAAGACGAAATACTCTTTGCTTCAACTCAGATTCTACTGTTTCAGGAATAATGACTTTTGACCTAGTTTACGTTTTGGTGATCTATCCTTTCTCGTTAACCAGTCTCTGAGAGTTCTTTGAGGAATATTAAAATCTCGCGATGCAGCCGCTACTGGATTTCCAATTCTAACAGAATATAGTGCCTTTTTCAAATCCTCTGTTTTCCATTTCGCCCTAATAGTTATTTTTTAGGTTTAGTCATTTTAAAAAGAACAAAAATAATATTTGACAAATTTTCTGACAAAATTTTTTAAATTAATCAAAAATCAACATTGGATTTGTCGGGTGGCGACGATAGTATTTATGAACATCTTTAAGTTTAAAACAATAAAATAATGAGGTTGTGAAAAGAAAATAATAGCCAAAGTACATTTAAAAGGAAAAGGTGTTCCCTAAACAGTCATTTTTGCGTTAACTGGTACAATTAGCGCAGCAACTTAAATAATATTTTTGAAGAATTTTAAAATTTACGTTTTTTGTTTTATTTTTTTAAACTTCAACATTAAATTACAGTAGTTTGAAGTTAATTTGAGAGCAAAGACATTAAATTACAAACTTTGAGTGCAATCACAACACATATACACAAAATCTCAATATCGAAAATCAAAATAAACATATGGCGTTATTAGCCCATTCCACTCTGGCGATATTGGTCAGATATCAATGTGTTATTTAAAACGGGTTTTTTTTTGTTTACATTGTGAACTTTGCTTAATTTTAAAAAATTGTGAATAATAAAAATAATTAGCAACAACACCACAAAAAAAAACAATACACATATGAACACGTCAATATAAACGATGCACAAAACTACATGACAGTATAAACAAAAATAGAAATACACAACAATATAAACAATACACAAAAATACACAACAATATAAACAATTCAAACAACATAATTTATTAAAACTTAAAAATTGCAGTTTTTTTTTTTTGCTTTTTTTTAAAAACTTATTTTTTTACTTTCAAAAATCTCAAGTACATTTTTTCTTCAATTTTTAAAAAATTTTCATTGTTTTCACTTTATATATATTTAATCCATTTATTAGCAACCTTTTCATTCATTAATCTTCATTTTCCCTCATCGTTTTCTAAAAAATCCTTCTTAATATATATATATATATATATATATATATATATATATATATATATATATATATATATATATATATATATATATATATATACATATACATATACATATACATATACATATATATATATATATATATATATATATATATATATATATATATATATACATATATATACACATATACATACATATATATATATATATATATATATATATATATATATATATATATATATATATATATCATATACATATACATATACATATATATATATATATATATATATATATATATATATATATATATATATATATATATATATATACATATATATACACATATACATATATATATATATATATATATATATATATATATATATATATATATATATATATATATATTTTACAAAACAACTAAATAATCTCAAATATATCACTGTTAATAAAATTTGACTTATTACTAATAAGTCAAGTTTTATTTACAATTTTATTTAGACATTGATAGTATTGAATTTTCAAAAGTTCATACTATTTAGTGTTACGTTTTTATAGTATATAGAAGAAACACTAAACAATATGAATTATAATTACTAATAAGTTATTAGTAAATTATGTTTTATTTATTTACAATGCTATAAAATCCTTTTCTTATGAATTGAATTTTTTATGAATCATATTGTTTAAAATAAAAAAAATTTTGTGAATGCGCTTCTTTAAAAACATACAGCACTTTAGTTCCAGTAAAACAACTATAAATATATTAAAATCTCTAACTTGGAATTAAAAACGTGTACAACTTCTCTTCTTTAAAAAGAACTATGGCGCTCTGTAAATTAGAGGCTTTACTAAAACATACGGTTAAAGTCTGTTATTTAAAGTTATGGTATCATAAATACGGTCAAAATCCCATAAAAAGATATAATTATTTAAAAAGTCTTAAAAGTATAGGTAAAAGACCGTAATTTATTGAAAACGGATTTTTTCCGTAACAAAACAACGTAAACAAAGTCTGAAAAATACTAGGGAGTTTTTTTACAGTGTAAAAATAATACTTTTTTGATATATATATATATATATATATATATATATATATATATATATATATATATATATATATATATATATATATATATATATATATATATATATATATATATATATATGTATATATATATATATATATATATATATATATATATATATATATATATATATATATATATATATATACACACACACATATATATATATGTATATATATATATATATGTATATATATGTATATATGTATATATGTATATATATATATATATATATATATATATATATATATATATATATATATATATATATATATATATATATATATATATATATGCACACATACATACATACATAAATATGTTTAAGTGAAATAAATTAATAGCATCATCTAAACAAAGTTTTCACAGATCGTTTCATTTTATTTGTATAAAAAAGATCTTGATCTCTGTGCTACAAACTATGATGGAATCAGTGCACTTCACGATGCTGTACAAAATAATCGAATTGAAGTTGCGCAAGTTTTGTTACATGCTGGAGGTATTATTATATTATGACTGGAGGTTACCCGAAAAAAATTTCTAAGTTTTATCAATGAAATTCTTTAAAGTTGTGTTTTTAAAGTAGTCAGATTTTTATCGGGATTTAGAATTTGTTTTAATGTAATTTATTTAAAATGATTTTCTTAGGTCATCGACTTTTCTCACTTCAAACTAAAGATAATAAAACAGCTATGGATATGGCTAAAACACAAGAGATGAAAAGTTTATTGAATAGATATAATATAAATTTCCTATCAGCTAGTGTTTGTGAGATAAACGATAAACTTTATAAAAATGTCAAACTCGTTTCAAATGATGATCTACAAAAATATTTATTTTTACTAATACTGTTGATAGAATCGTTAAAATCATCAGAAGAATTAGGTATCACTAAATCTCTTCTTACACAACAATTTAATTTACTCAAGCAACACATTGCATTAATCGGTGATAAGAAAACTATAAAAGTTGCAATGCTTTTAAAGAAGTTAGAAAAAGTACTTCAGATCAATTATTTCTAGAAGATCAATATTTCTAGTCAAGAATAAATTTTGTATATATTTGTGTATTTGTGTACTGATACGTTTATTTTATTTTTATTTTTTTCCCTTTACAAAATTTCTAATTCGTTGTAAAATTTATATCAACACTTTTAGGTGTTACTCATAATTATTTGATGTGTGGTACCTAAAACAAATATTTTATCTGTTATGTGAGTTTAAATGTGCTGAATTGTTTCAAGAGCGTTTTTCAAAAATCTAGTTAGCGTGTAAGAGTGCGCGTGATATTTTTGAATTTCTTTTAATTGATTAGAAATACTCTACTTGGGTTAGACCAAAACCATGTTTGTTATGGATTGTTTATCTGTCTTCAATTTATTTTTTGGTTTTTCTTGACTTGATGATTCGACATCAAAACTATCATTGGTGTACCTCTATTTAAAACTATCATTTGTTATTATTAAACAAAATCATTAAATTAAATTATTAAAATTAACTAAATTTCAATTAATTAAATAAAAATTAAAACAATTAAAATTATTGCTGAATTTGAAATATATTTATAGTCGTTATTACTTATTCTCGGGTGCTTACTTATTCTCGAGAATAAGAGTAAAAGGAGGGTGTTTTTTATCTTAAATTTTATTTTATTTTATTTAACCTTACACAAACGAAAAGGCAAAACACAAAAACAACAAAACGAAAAGGCAAACACAAACACTTCTACAAAATCAATCAAATCAAATATATTTCGAAATAAGTTATAACATTTCAAGGAAATTTACAATAGTACAAGTACTAATATAAAGTAAATACACTCTTAGCAAAAATAGGAGATAACTGTCCAGTCCGCACCCTAGAAAACCGCAACATTCCTGTGAAAGCTTATGACCATGGGATCAAAAAAGTGTAAAAGTTAAAATCATCTGCCTAAGTCCCTGAAAGAAAATCAATTTTGAAATTTTCCTTTATTACACGTATATGTAAAATGACAGCATTTCTATTTTTTGCATTTTTACAGCATTCTTTAAACAAAAATACATACAATAAATAAAAAAAAATTATTCTAAAGGGATAAAAAGGTACATTCTGTTCTTACATAAAGATTTCTAATGTAAGTTCAACATAATTTATTCATAAATCTCCAATTCTATTTATTTTCTATTATTCCAAGTTCTTCAGCAACTTATTGCAGGAATTTCCTTCAAATTGTCCACCATGAAAGGGTTGATGTTGTAAATGCAATGCTTGAAGCCAATCATCTGCCTTTGGCCATGAATCTTTCAGAATCTTAAAAAGATGATTGACCACTCCAAGAAGTAGATGCAACTCCATTGGAGGTATTAGATCAATTACCAATGCAGAATCTTCAAGTGAAAGAACAGGCTCATGAACCACGTTTCCGAATTTCTTTGCATTTTTAGTATTTGAACCTGCTGCAGAGAACGCATGGAATGACTGCTTCAGAGAGCCAAAAGTTCTTAGAATACCACAATTCGCAAGATTAGAACTTTTCGCTGTGGATAAAAGGATGAATGAGCCTGCAGACCGCACAGGATGTTAACCAATTTCGTGTCACAAGAGATAACAAAATTGACCTCTTGAATGTCGAGAAGGGAAAGAATGACTTTCACATTGTTTTAATTTTCTTGAACTCCTTCAGCCACAGCCACAAGAAGTTGTTTTTTCACTCCTGTATCCATTGATGCTTGTGATGTAAGCAAATGTTTGCTTGGAAGTGAAGCTTCACTTTGCATCTCTGGGTCCAATTCACAAACTCCGAGACCGACTTTTAAGAATCCTTCACCGCCGTCGATCCCCAATTTAATGACGTGGTTTGAAAAAATCTTCCGTGTCAAAAGTAAATATTCAATAAGACTATTGAGACTCTTGCAATGTGCAACAATGTAATTTGAAGTTGTTTTGTCCGCGTTTGTAAATGCCGCTGTGGTCTGAGTAAAGCTCTCTACAAGATTTTTCCCAAGGTTTTGAAATTTTTTAACAATGTATGGCTCCAAGACTTTGGTTGTGCTTACATTGTTGATTGTTGTTGCAAGTTTTTTGATGCCATTATTGGACAACCCTGTGTTTATTTGAACCTGAACCTCTTGCGCTGTTACAACTGGGAGATCCTTGAATAGCTGTTTTGCACTTGATGGTCCTAAAACATATGAAAATTAACTTTACAGCAAACATTTTACCAAAATACTTAAATGGTGTAACCATATGTTTACCTGGAGTTATAGGCAATGCTCTCCCACCCTTGGTTTGTGAAAGTCGAACTGTTCCATGTGGAGATGCATTCTTGCTTGTGATTGTTGAAGGTGCAATCTGTTCCGCAATTTTACCATCATTAGCTACCAGAGATCTTATATTCTCTCTAAACTGTGATACAGAGCATTGATGTGGCAATCCCCTACCAACTAGTGACAGACATTTTAAGCACCTTTTGTCAGAAATCTTTTCTTCTTTCGTGTCAGTGTCAAGAGGGTGCTTTTCAGTCAATTTCAACCGGCTAATGCGACAAATCAAGCATTCACAAGGATTTCCTCTTGTGAGTGGTTTGACAATGATAGTTTCAAAGTCAAAAAGAGCTGGTAATTAACAAGGATATCTTTCATAACGTTTCCTCAGAGCAGTTCTACAAGTTTCACACAGCCCTTGCGGTACTCCTACATCTTCAAAATTGATTTGTTGTCTGTAGACTTGATGAATTTTTTCATACAAAAACGTAAATGTGTAAAAAGGAAAGTTTTCAAAATTGATTTTCTTTTACGGACGTAGGCAGATGATTTGAATGTTTACATTTTTAAAATCCCATGGTCATAAGCTTTCACAGGAATGTTGCGGTTTTCTCGGGTGCGGATGAGACAGTTATTGCCTATTTTTGAATACCTTAATATACAACGTAACATTATAGTCAATGATTAAAGTAATAATAATAACTGTTATTAACAATACTAATAATAATGATAATAACAATAATAACAATAATAGCAATAATAGTAATAATAATAAAAATAATAACAATGATTGTGATAAGAACAATAATAGCAACAACAACAACAATAAAAATAATTATAACAATAATAATAATAGTAACGAAATAATAACTATTATAATAAGAGAAGAATTTCATAAATAAAGACAAAAACAGCAGCAACAAAAATTTAGTAAAGAGTGATGGCAACAACAAAAATTTAGTACGAAGTAGAATAGTTGAGAAATAGAGAATTTTTGAATGAAAAGAGATAAATAGATAGATAAATAAAGAATGCCTACCCATTGGTACTAAAATTAATAGTATTAGTATAGATAGTTTAATAATAAAGTTTAAAAATGGCAGATAGAAAACCAGAGAAATTAGATGTAGATAGATAAGTAGAGAATTTCAAAATATTAAAAATATCAAATTAAAAACTGAAGAATTACGAATTGACATATATAGTAAAGAATGTCAATATTAGTTGGTAGAAGTATTTAATTGTATTTTTTTAACAGATAATTAGAAAGTTTGATTTTGAATTCAGAGATTGAATTAAGAGATTTTAGATCAGGAGGTAGTTTTTTCCATGAGCTAAAACATTGATATTTAATGGATTTATTTCCATATTTAGCAGATTGGTGTTTCGGAATAACTAAGTTTAAGCTACTGATGTAGCGAAGAGGATAGTGACAATTTGAAATTGAAAAGAAATTGTTGAATGATAGGTGAAGGTTTTTGTGATGATAATTCCAGACAAATAGGCAGTTGAGGAATACCACAAGATCGCTTATTTTTAATATTTTGGAGATTAGGTATAGTACATTAGATTTAGAGTTATTATACTGAAAATATATTACTTTCAAGGCTTTATTTTGGAGATGGGAGAACCTTAAAATGATTTGTTAAAGGGATTGTCCCCATACTTGACATGCATATCTTAGATGGGACCCAAAAACAGCATGATATATATTTAGCAGAGTTTCTAGATTTACATAATGGCGGACTTTGGCTAGCATTCCATTAGATCTGCTGAGTTTCATTGCTGAGTCATTCAGATGGCCTTGAAATTTTAATCCCAAGATTTTTAATAGAGTCTCAAGGATAAACTTTTTGTCCACTTAGTCTGAAATTTAATTGCTTTTTAATTGGTGCCAGATTGGATTTAAAGATGATAAGCTCTGTTTTGTAAGAATTAAGAGAAAGTTTATTAGAACGAAGCCACTGAACAAGATTTCCAAGATCATGATTAATATGTTTGTTGATTTTTTTAAGTGATTTGTCAACCAGTAGCATGTTAGTATCATCAGCAAAATGGTAAGCAGTTGCAAAATTAAAAGAAGTATTCAAGTCATTAATAAAAAGAAGTGGTCCTAAAACTGAACCTTGTGGGACGTTTCATTTTCACTAACAGGATCAATAAAGAAAGAATTAGCATTAGGAAAATTAAGAAAGTTACTATAAGTATATTCTGATGGCATAATACTATTGAGTAGTTTTTCACGAATAGAGTCAAAGTAGTTATTAAATATATTTGAAACAGTGGCATGGTCTGTGATAATATTTTTATTCAGATTTTTAGTCAAAGTTTTATAGGGGGCGCATTGGTCTAGAACCCTATTAAATGATTTTAAAAAATTATTAATGGATTCATTAATATTGTCATCTTTTTTAATCATAAGCTCCCAGTTGATTTTAGAAATTTCTATAATAAACTTGTTAGGGTCAAATTTTTTTAAACGTTTTCTAGAAATTCTAACTTTATTTGGTTGGTTGGATGTGCCAGGAACACAAACAAATTGTGCTGTGTGATCCGAGATAGAAATAGTTACCTAGGTTACCTGAAAGATGATCAGAAGAGTATCAATAAGTGTTTGAGATTTAGTTGTTATACGGGTAGGTAAGATTATGGAAGGATTAAATGAGTAAGAACATAAGGTGTCAATGTAGTTGGAAGTAGGATTAGATTCACTATAGCTCAGTAGATCTGCATTGAAATCACCCATTAAAAAGATCAATTTTTGTTCTTTGCTTAACTTTTCAAGAAGTGGAGTTAAAAATGTTGTATTGAATTCATTTTGATTCATTGATGGATGACGATATATACAAC